GTGTTAAAAGCGTATCAAATTTAGTTTGAATATATATATAACATATAACGTGATATGTATTAAATTTAACTAAATTAATATAATACTATATACGATTCACATTATAAGCGTTTATTATTTATCGTGTAATATTATTATTTATCGTGTATAAATTATTATTAGAAATTTAAGAAAGCAGTTTCATCGTTAATTTCACTACCATTTCTATTTAATATTTATTTTTTTTTTTTATGATCTTGTCATCTCTTATCTCGACATTATTTCATCGCGTGAATTATTTTTACATTTAATGCTCAACTATGGCATGCTGGTAATATCACAGTTTTGAATTTCTTATTCATTGTGTTAAATAAGAACGAGATTTAAGAGGTATAAAAGCGTCACTCCTGGAAGAAAGCAGCAAGACGGGCACTGAAAGCTCTTAATACCTTCTCCTGCGCGAATGAAACTCATTACTGCGAACTGAATTAGCAATATATTCATCAATTAGGTTTTTAAAAAAAAAGTATATGAAGACTTATGTTCGGAATGTATAAGTGTATTGTATATTATTTGTTCTGTCTTTATTTTTCTATAAAAAATTGACTCACTAATCCATAACTATGTATGACGTAATCTTATAGATCGATTATTGATCAAAAACAAATTAGGTATCTTTAAATTATGTATATATGAATATATTGTAAATAGAGTAAGATGGTTATTTAGAACGTGATACAATTTTAAACAAAATAAATTAACTTTCGAGGTTCTCTCTCTCTCTCTCTCTCTCTCTCTCTCTCTCTCTCTCTCTCTCTCTCTCTCTCGAGTTTAGTAACCCTTTTGTGTGCAAGATATTGAAGAGTAAACAGGAAAAAAATCAAACTCTGACTTTGAAAATTGGATTCAAATATTATTTTATTCAAAATTGCGCCATATCCGAAATTGCATTATCTTATCTTTCTCTCTCTCTCTCTCTTTCTCTCTTTCTCAGAAGGCTCAAAGATTATCATGTTATTTATCGTGTGCGTGTGTGTGTTTCCTGATATATCAAGAAATACTCTATCTCAGCAGTAATAAAATTAATTACCTGATTCGAAAACAGTATCTGTCATCTTCATTAATTCGACAGATTGTATGAGAATATTTTGACATTATACAAAGGTTAATGTCTTCGTTTTACTGATTGTACGAATTTAATAGGAAAATATGTCTGAGTATGCTTAACTTGGAAACGTAATGTGCAAAGTTATTATAAGTTTATATTAAACTACATGTGAAAATATTAGAACATTTCATAGTTAAACTTTGGAATATAATAAGATATTTCTATATTTCTAAAACATACGGTAGGTAAATACCTATTCCATACGTACGCTTTCAAAGCTTGCAGAGTACGAACTCATTCATTTCGCTGATGACATCTGTGTTAAAACTTTATATTTTCTGAGTATGAATTTATACTCGTATTCATTCATTCGTTTATAGAATTAACAAGGCTGATATGTAGAAATTACTCTTGCAGATTCGCATATACTCGTACGAAATGTGAAGAGAGAAATTTACATTCCAAAATAAAAAAAAATTAATTCGTTTCGCTCGCTTGCATCATCTCTTTTACTACTGTTTACTAACGTCACAGCTATGTTCTGTAGAGTTATTAAAAGAACCAGTAAACAATATCGTTAAATAAAGCAGTTGTTAAAAATATATTGAAAGTGTTCATAAAAAAGTATGCATATCGCGCTTCATGTTTTACTTTTCGATATATTTTGTTACTTCTAGTAGAAAGATTTCTATTGAAAGATGCGGAAGGCTTATATGCTACGTAACTTTTTATAAAACAAACACGGAAAAAAGAGCATCACCACAACATTAACGTTTTTGTACGAAAAACTCGTAAATCAAGGTGTCGAATTTTTTATTTATTACCTCTTTTTCCTCCACGATTACAAATTCTTTACACGAAACACCTAGCTACTTGACCTGCAATAGTAGACGACCATAGTAGACACACAACGATAGTGTTGTCAACGATTCTCGTGGTCGCGATCCCATGATCCCTGTACCGGAAGGGGTTCATTAGTCAGGCAATGATAATGCCAACGGACACCCGGTCACTAGCAACGCAGCGGAGAGCTCGGCTCTACAAATTATAACGCTTTCGCGTCTTAGTCAGAAGACTGTCTTAGCCATAGCATCGCTATACCGGCACCATTGTATCGACCTCGTCGATCCTGTCTTATCGTTGGATTACTATCATTTCACGCCCACCTGGATCTTATCGATCGTGCCTTGTACTTCCGACGGTGGATTCGAGAGAATTGTGTATCGGTCTTTGATGTGCACGTCGCGCGACGCGCGCAAATATATATTTCTTCTAGAGAAAAACTAATGAGCGACTGATTCCACACTCTACCACATAGTCTCCGATACATATTATCAATAGCTGTTTGTAAAACAGTTATAACATTGTGACGCAACTACCGAGCGTAATCTCGCGGCGCAATTGCATCCGATAAACAGCGGCGTGAATATTATCAAATAGAGAAGCAAAGCACAGTGATTACTCAGTGAGTGGTAACGGAAGCTGTGTGGCGACTTTGTTGATCGAGTTTGTGGCTACGTAGGTGAAGTGCGTAGACCACACTGGAAGGTCTCTATCGAGGAAATAAATCATTCATGTGCACCAGTGAGATCGTGAGCTGTGACTATAATAGTGACACCTTGATTGCACAATATCGGCCGTTATTTTGCGATTGTCGCCCTCAATATCATCTCAAATATCATCATAAGGAGAGTAATTTCGATAGTCATGCGTGAAACGAGGATTGACCTACTTCCGACTTGCAATGCGCTGAGGCGTGTTGCTACACACTCAATTCGCTTCATAAACTGAGAAGTCTTCTCGTGGTCATCCGCGAATTTCGTCGCTTAAGTATACTTATTATGCAACGAAAATGCGGGAGTGTTCAAAGAGACCTCGGTATTGCGCGTTTATGATCGATTAGTTTATCGATTGGATTGTTACTCACACAGTGATATTAAAAGCGATGACTAGTGATCACGCGAGTACGCATTATCATTTTATTTTGCGTCTTCCGTTGAGTATATTACGAGCCAGAAGAAGATACGCATATTACGAGATAGAAGAAGATAACCACATGGCTCGGTAAGTTGGCTAATAAAGCAATTAATTGCGGTGTCAAGGAATGAAACTAATGAGAGACAATGGTCTAAATAGATCTTAAGTGCTTCTATAATTGCGTGTAAACTCATATACTGCGTATGTAGTCTTTTTGCGCGCTAAACAATTTAGACTTGAAACGCAAGCTCTACTAAAATAACGCAGTAATATCAAGAGTTAAATTGACAATTTAACAATTTTTTATGCTTCTTACGCATCTTAAAAATGTTGAACGACATATGAAAATCTGTAAATAATTAATTCTTACAGCTTGCGTTTCAAGTTAAAAATTGTTCGGCGCGCAGTTAAAAAGACTACATACGTAGTATATAAATTCACACGCAATTATAGAAACACTCAAGATGTAGCTAGACCGTTAAGGTTCGTTTCTCATTGATTCTTTATTTTTCACGATCCTATGAATTTTAAGATTTAAAAATGATGTATAGGAAATTCAAACATGATAAACAATACAGAAAATGTTGACATTGTAAACGATCAATTTCTTTGAGTGTCGTACATAATTACTTGATTCAATAAAATTTATTTTCAGATCTGTATATATTAGCTTTTAGCAATTTTAGCAAAATCGTTTTTTTTTCCGTCTGCATATTAAAATTGCACGCTATATTTATAGTTCAAACTAAGTAGTAGTTCGATGTAAGCTAATTCTAAATTCAAATCAATCTTTCACTTCAAAAATGCTTCTCACGATTACTACATCCAGATATAAAGTGTTAACATTTGCATTTGTTATATATATAATGTTTCATGTATTTGTGTAGTGTTTATATGAATTAACAAACATATGCAGTGCGAGACTAATTTTGTTAGTTTTTGACATGCAACATTTTGAGAAATATTACGAAAATGTTAATAGTGTTATTAATAATGTTTTTATATAGCTCTACTAATGAATAATAAAATTTAATGTTATTGCTACTATTAACGACTGTGCGTAAAAGTTTCGCGCCATTATCGTAACTGCCAATAAGTAGACGTTTATTATGCACATGTATGAATATTTTCGTATTATAAGTTTGCAATAAACCAACACGATTAGAATTCCGCTTGTATATAGCACTATTATTGCATCGTGCCAGAATACATATGCTCTTCGGCGCTAGCAATAATTCTAGTAAATTTCCATCTACCATTTCTACATAAACTACACAGTTATTGAATAAATATTAAACTAAAGGGAACGGAATGTCTCACTACTTTAACAATGTTATTATTCCATGATATCTCTGTAACTGTATACACCAATGAGTATTTTAAACAATTTGTAAAAAAAACATTACGTTTAAATAAAGAACTTGGTGAATCAACATATATTTATTATTTCTATACCAAAATAACAACATTATGTGATATTAATAATAAATAGATTGACAATATTTCATTAATATTGCAATTAAAAATTAAAATCAATCTTGTTCGCAAAGATTACATTTTTTATTACGTATGTCTTATTACTTATATAAATTGTTTGTGAAAGATTACGATGTGCTTATATAAAATTTATTCCTATTTTGATTGTTTTATCATGTTTCTTATCTCTCTTTGATTTATCGTGCTGCCGTTTACTTGCAGACTCGGTGTACTGGTACACCGTGGCAGAACGAACAATGGATAGAAGAGCAGAGACTAAGTAGCAGGCTGCAGGTACAGAAACGGAGACGGCGCGAGGGGAAGATTGGAAAGAGGCGTGTGGCCGACTGAAAGCGAGAGTGAACGCCAGGGGGATAGGCACGGAGGCCGAAAGTAAGGCACGGGAGGGTCGGCCATTGTGACAAAGTCGCAAGGGGAGAAGTGTGGAGTCGCACGAAAAATGAGGGAGCGAGCTCTGTCGGATGTGTGGAGGCTGGTGTGGTTGCTTTGCCTCGTTCTGGCGACGAGCTTAGCGCAAACGTCACTGGTCTGTCCGTCTCATAGCGAGATCGCGCCCTGTTACTGCACCGTGAAGAAATCTGGCTTAGACATTGTGTGCGAGATCACCGACCTGACACACATCTCCAAGGCCATGGCCGTGCTTAAGGGAAGGCCGAATCTCGTGATATTCTACCTTCGGCTTAGGCACAATAACCTGCCCAAGTTGCAGGGATATGTATTCCTCGGGCTTGATATACGCCATCTCACCATTCACAATAGTAGCTTGGCAGTACTTGAAGAATCTTCCCTTAGTTCTATCGGTGAGTATGTTCGCTTATAGCAAAGTTAAACGAAAATATCAATAAAGCACGCAAAAAGAGCTAGGAAATTTTATTTAAAAAAAATGAAAATGTATGAAATCTGTGAAATTTACACTTCGCTGAAATATTAAATTCAAAATAGACACAATAATAAAATTAGTTTTTGAAATTCAAATTTCTACAAAAAAAATATTGTCTTTGTGTTTCCATTTCTATTTTATTTTAGCATAACCTAGTAATATTTGTAGTATTTGGTGAAATTTGACAGAAATGTAAAAAACATTTTTTTATTAAACATATTTCAAAAAATAGTCCTCGAAAATCATATGATAGATTGCGGAATATTGAGTTTACAAAGGGATTACAAAATGAAAGGGTAGTTACAAGATGTTAAATTTACTCATAAACATGCTACTATTAATCACACGCAACATTTTCATTATAATTATAAATATATAATATAAACTAAATATTATAACACAAACAACACATATTATAATAAATAAAAACATTAAAACAAAATTTATTATTTAATATTAAGATAATTACTACATTTTATGACAATTTTACCAGTAATTAACTAAACCGTAAAATTTCATCCCATACCTTAATATATATATACATAAATATTTAAATTTATAGGATTCTTCCAAAATAATAATTAAAAAAGAATTCGATTAATCAATACATATGTATAATTAAGATTGCCTATAAATATATCAACGATATTCAATTACGTTTTAATCTTCAAAGCTTATCGCAATTAAGAAATAAGAAGTTGTGAAAAGAGCTTTTTAATTATCGCATGTACCATGTAATATTCTTCCGTTTCATATAATATTTTTTTACGACGTAGACAATACATGTTCTCTTCAAAAAAACTTCTAGAGATGATTTCAAATCAGTTTTTTTTTTGTGTTAAAGCCAACGTTAAAGCATTCAATCTGTCACGCAAGATTCACGTTAAAGTCGACTGCAAATTTAACCCGCCTTTAAATCTCTTACGAAATCCCGGACTCGTTTGATCACCACATCGCCTTTACGACCACGTAGATTCAGAATAAATTACTGTAAGGAACTGGAAAATACGTTCTTTTTACACCTGCCGTATTCTAGATACGCGAAGATAACCACATCGCGTGTACTGGAACCTTAATGAGAATGCAACACTACGAAGGCGTCTCGACGCGACATCACTCGGTTGCATTAACTCGCAACGTCGAAAGCACATTAAATAATAGAAAATGTTATTTTCCAACTGGGTTTTACGCTCGCGCGACGTGTTTTTACAACAAATTAATTATATATAAAATAGAAAGGATACACACACACAAACTTCGTGTTATTAGTCAGTGGGTAAAGTCATTTACGTTTTGCAAAATATCAATTTCACCAAACGAAAAATAATTTTAACAAATTTATAATTCTCGTTCTTATGCGTGTGTATATACATAACATATAAATAATATACATAGGTAACTTCAAAATTTTTTAAAATATATAATAATACGTTTAGTAAAATGAATTTTTTAAATTAAAAATGTCATAGCTAACGTTAAAAGAATTTTATATGTATATACAATTAGACTTTTCAATATTAATTAAGATAGTGTCCCATTAAAATTTGCACTTTAAAACATGATTATAAATAATGAATTCTATTCACTAGGTTTTATTAAATACGTTACTATTAAATTAACAAAGCAATTTTTCTTAAATAAAATAAATATATGAAATTATATTATATTTCCCACGAAAAAAAAATATATATATAGATTTAATATAATTAAATATCAATTTTATTAAAATATTTTAATATATACATATATATAATATTTATAATAACGATTCCAATAAATGTGGTTTTATTAAGACCTTATATAGATTTAATTTGAACCATATAATGATCCGTATTAAGTTATTAATTCAACTTATTAAAACTTGTTAAGACTATATTAAAATATATTAATTCAACTTATTTAAACCTTATTAAGATTTAATTAAATTATATAAATTGGACTTTAATAAAATTTAATAAGAACAATTATTAAACTTAAATAAGTTAATAATATAAACTATATTAAAAATATATACAAATATGCATTTATTTATAAGGTTATATAAAGACTAAAATTCTTTACATGAATTTTGATGAAATCTTTATAAAGAACTTATAAGACTTTTATTTAGAATATATTAACTTTTTTTTCGCGGATCGAAAAATTCTAGAAAAAAGTATGTTACAAATTTCAATTATACAAAGTTTATATGAGCGTTTGCGCAAATGCAAATACAAAAGCAAATATGTTTCTTCTTACAGGAACCGGGTTGACACAGCTGGATCTCTCCCAAAATTCGATGAGTAGCGTTCCATCTCACGCGTTAAAAGACCTTCACCATCTCTTGATTTTGAATTTAAATCGTAACAAAATCACAGCCATTCATGGTAGGGCCTTCGAAGGTCTTGATACACTCGAAATTCTCACTCTTTATGAGAACAAGCTCACTAATATAGAAGCAGATGCATTCAAAGGGCTCGACAAGTAAGTCACTTTTACTAATTTTATAAATTTCAAGTAAATATAAAAACTGAGAACAAGATTTTCTATTCAAAATCCTAAAAAGATTGAAAATGTATTTGTTTGGCCAATGTACACGGTAACATTTCTTAAATTTGCAATCTTACAGACGCTCTATATTGTTTATACAAATTTCAAATAAAAAAATTAATTCAAATTCTAGCCTGTTTTAATAATTTTAAATTTCGCTCTGTTTTAGCCGAAGACTCAAAAGACTTAACTTAGGCGGAAATGAGCTAACGAGAATCCCAACTCAAGCTTTATCTTCGTTAGAATTGTTGAAAAAATTAGAAATGCAAGAGAATCGAATATCCAGTATAAAAGAGGGAGACTTCGAAGGTAAAATCAATAATTCATTTTATACAAGACGTGTCTTTTTTTAATATTCCAGTTTTAGCTGATCCCATTTTGTAGAACAATTGTAATTTTAATTAAACCAACTTCTTTTTTAATCTATTACACACACACGCATGCGCTCGCGCGCGCGCACACACACATATATCCAATCTACGTATAAATAAAGCGCATTTATAAAATAAACGTGTAACGAACATTTCATACAATTAAATGAAATGGGCTCATCGATAAAACGTTTTAACCTTTTAGGATTGAAAGCGCTCGATTCATTAGGATTGGCGCACAATCACCTTCGTGAGGTCCCAGCGCGTGTATTCTCCCATTTGACGCAATTAAACTCTTTGGAACTTGACGGAAATCAGATTACTCACGTGGATCCCAATGCGTTCATCGGTCTTGAGGGTAAGTATAGTTACACTTTACTCTCTATAGCTGTGTTCAACTTATTAGTTACGGATATACGAGCACAGAACTTACGTTAAAATTATAGTACGCTTAATATTAATATCATTCTGTACTACTGTTATAAAAAATTTTATTAATAATGTAGAAAGAGTTCATTAATACTTGCGTGTCAATCTATCTCTTTTTAACAATTTAAAGAATAGTTTAAACTTATATATATATATATATATATTTATTTATACTTCTATATGTGCTTGTAATAATTTAAACTTGTATCAATAAATCATTTTAATATTGATATAGCCGATATAATCGGTATATGAATTTGTAATCTCGTGTTCAGTTTACTATAAAATTTCTGCAGTCTCTGCAGATCACGTCCTACTTTATTTATTGTAGCGAACGACACAACTGCTTAGCATTTAAATTTACCGCATACTACAACTGCTTGTCGGCGATGCAATCGGTTCCCTTTGGGAACGCGGATATAAACGAGCGAACGACACTTTACAAACTACCTTTCATCTCGTTGTATACCTACTATGAACACGAGCTCGACTATCAAGATAATATTTCGGCAAAACGTTGTGTAAACGTATAACAATTCAATCGACAAGTCAGTCAAGCACCACAGTTAGCTTTCCAATCAAAAGACAAATCGGAATTTAATCAGATATGAGAAAATGTCGTTACAAATAAATATTAATAAAAATAAATATTAATGAAATGTAGTGGATGAAGAAATATTTCCGTAATATCTTGTCTGAATATAACTTCATAAACCATAAAAAAAAAGGTTTTTTATGAAGTACATTAATTTTATTAATTTATACATATTGCTAAAATATATATTCTTCTTGTGCAAAACTATCCTTACACATCTTAATATCTTCTTTTATTTATGTGGTGCCAATATTCAATTAATATTTCTTACTAAAAGTTTGTATTCGTTCAAAACGTTTTAATTATGTATTATTTTCATCAATGTTGAAGAATCCAATTAAAGCTTTCGAACGAAATATTTGATTCATGCTTGCGTAAATTCTTCCGATCCAGTGTTTATTCACTACGAGTAGCTTGATTTAATTATAACTAGTTGCAATTTATCGAAAGAAGTTCATTTGAGCGTATCGTAATTCTTGAGAGCTATTATTGATGCTGTCCACGTAACGAAGCTACCTACTGCACGCTAGATTACTGTCACTTTTTCTACTATATCTATTTCATATACAACGTTTGCGTATAACTGTTTTAATTATGTTATTTGTATAAAAAAATTCATATACTTCTTTACAAAAAAGTTAGTGAATGTGAAAATTTAACGAATTTTTAAATTATACTAGTCGATAAAATCGAACTTCTTTTCATTTGTGATGCATAAATTTTCCGGATTTGGATTCAACGCGAAAAACTACGATAGAAAAGTGTAGCCAAATATATCTGTAATGATTTTTTTTGTCGACCAATTGCAATGTTGGCCTCATTTTTATACCTTTAAAATATTGATACACACACACACACACACACACACACACACTATATATATATATATATATATATACACACACACACACATATTAAAATTTTTAATACGTTCTTTCTGTAATTTTTATTTTAGAAAATCTACAATATTTACGACTGGGAGATAACAATTTGCATTTGGTACCGAGTGACGCTCTGCGACGTTTGCATCGCTTACGTCACCTTGATTTGCGATCAAATAACATCACTGTACTTCCGGAGGACGCTTTCACGGGCTATGGAGATTCCATCACTTTCCTTAATCTGCAGAAAAATATGTAATGTTCTTTCTTTCTTTAAGTAATGCAACTGAGAAATTTAGAGATTGGAAAATATTTCAATTTTTCTAATATATGTCCAAAATAAATTATAGCCTCACGTAAATTTTTCAGGATTAAAATACTTCCGCCTCTGGTATTTGAAAATCTCAATTCGCTAGAAACTTTAAATTTGCAAAATAACAGGCTCACACATGTCCCAGAAGAAGTTACGGAGAACATCGTTGATACTTTACGTCACATTGATATAACTGGTAAAAAACCTTCTTTTTATTTAACATTTATATTACTTTTTTTTTTCAAAAATATACGATAATTTTAATTCCTTTTACCTAAATTAAATTTCTAATGTTTAAACGAATGAAATATATTTTAAAAGCCATAAATATTTTTTTTATTTATATCTTATTAAATAGTAGCCTTTTTAATACAAACAATTGAGTCATTTGTGTTCTGTGTATTTTTTTTTTAATACACAATTTTACAAATACTTTCTAGAGATTTTAAGTATATGTAAGAATCATTTGATAATTTTTGTACATACTTTTAAAAGCATATAGATAAAAATTAATCTGAAACTGAATAAGATTCATTGTATGTAGGTACCTAAGAAAAAGTCATCGTAATATCAAAATAACGTCAAAATATCATATAATTAATTATTAAAAATTAAAATTGATATCAAATAATTACCAAAATGATTATTAAAAGTCATGTTTTAACAATTTGTACATCATTTTGACATTATCGTGACTCAGAAAAGGACCGGAAAATTATCACATACTGAGAATAATCATTGAATTATGAATAACATTGTGTACGTCAAAGCTATACTTTTAGCAAAAATTAATCAGAGTACATTTCAGTAGAAGCCCGATCCATTATCGTGCGATTTTATTAATTTCATCTCTCTTCCACTCCATTTTTCTCTCGTGTAGATAATCCTTTGATTTGCGACTGCGAGCTACGATGGTACTCCGTGTGGCTCGCAAATCTGCGCAACAAGGATGACGAGATGATGTCAAAGAAACGAACAATCTGTACGATGATTTCGGAACATCGTGAATACTCTGTGCAGAGCATTCCACTTACAAGAATGGGCTGCGCGGGCAAGAACGCCGGCAAATTCTCGTCATCAGCTGCTGGGCACGGATTGTATGTGGACAAGACACTACCATTGATTATTCTTACTGTTGTTCTACTTTAATCTCTCAAAAATGCGGCGGCGCGATGACAGACGGCCGACTTTTCGTTTCGATGTCTCAACGGAATTATTAATAATTATATTGATATTTTTCGTCTCTTTATTAAGCTGTTATTATAATTTCTGTGTAGACCAAGAATTTTCGATTTCATTATTTACTTCTGTAAAGAAGAAGGATTCCTTGCCTTTCGAGGTAATCGTGACGCGAAAGCGGAGACGTGTCACGATTCCACGATAGCCATCCTTCTGTAGAAATTGGAAAATGCTACTTTATCACATATTATCGCGATAATTTAACATATTTATGGTAGACGCAGTTTCTTATGATAATGGTGCAAGGGAATTGCGACACGAAAAGTCGGTATATTATCACGTCCGTTTGTCACGATCGGCCAAATCATAACAAGATTTGAACCCCGGCTGACGAAGGAAGCATCTGGCATTATTCAAACGGATTACTACGTTTCAGAGCAGCGGGTAGGAATTGATTGATTCCTTTTGCACTTTGAGAAGCCGCTTCTTATTTCCCAGGAGGCATACGAGGACATGTGTCACGTGTGCGGAGAGGTATATTATGCGCATAGTGATGGTTGCTTTTCTGTGCAGACACGCGTCCATGCGATGCGATCGCGCGTGGACAATCATGTAGCGTTTGGTAACCGCGACAATCGATCTTTTTAGAACTGAGTACTTTAAACTTCCGGATATCTCACCGGGCGTTTCTTCATGATATTTTCTTTTTCAGTTCAATCATCCAAATGACTCTTCGGTTTAGTGCGTGGACGACAATCTATTCGTTGCTTGCAAGAATGCTTACCGAAATATTTACATTTTAATCAAATCGATTAAATGCATTTCCTTTTAGTGCCATTTCTAAATTACCTACTTGATATTGTAATATGACTCAATTTATTTTCGTGATAGCTTCAGTGTACGCTGTAAGTCCGATTTATTCGCCGCGTTTGATCAAGCCCGTGAAATACAATTCGCGAAAGTACAATGATCGTGTTAAAAAGTTAATCGTTGCGGTAAATATCATGAAGTTTAGATCGCAGTAAATATCATGAGCAATTCCCGCGAATGTTGAAATGATGATCACAGATATTGCAGAATCACTAGACATTAATAATAAACAGTATACGTAGATGTATTTGCTGTTCAATGATGGATTAATTTCTAGTAATTTCATTGTCATTTATAGAACTCTCAGATGCTTACAATCGAATTACAAACAACAAAGGAAGCTACATTAAATGAATCCGCGACTTCATGCTCTCTGCTTACTATAATTTGAAAAGACTTCTACACTGAATAAAAGCTTTTAATAGAATTCATATCGTTAATTCTTATTAAGCAGCCAGGCATCACGTATAGTGATTCGATGGTACAGAATCTGAGTGACTGCTAGAAATAAACGTTGATCGACCAGTGGACCGTAGAATTCTCGCTCGAAAGAGTACGAGTATTCTTCACCAGAACGTTACATATCAGCATCGTTGCCAATTACTTCATGGTTAAGCTCGCAACGCGAGGCATAGTATACTCGCTAGCAGATCCGAGTGACCGGAAATCAGATTCCGGATCACTCGTTATATACATATCAATGCGTTCCTGTTGAACACAATGCTACGAACAGTCGACATCCTCCGTATGCTTGTATTTTTTGTACGCCACAATCTTCCAAGATTTTAACGCCATTGAATATTATTTTTACTTATTTAAAATCATTCCCAGATCTTAGAAATTTACAGAAATTATTCAAACGGATACTTTATGTTCAACATAAAGTAGGTTATTCCAATCTTCCTATCTTATTCATTATAAAAGGTTCTTAATAATTAAGATACCCTAATTGAAGAATAAAATGGATCGATTGAATCCGGATGAGATTAAAAGAAAATAATGTTTATGACATTCATCTTTTATCAACTTTTCTGCTAGAATGTCCTCGTGTGCGGTAGTCGCTAACATCTTGAGATCGCTGCGATACTTAACTTGATTTGCAAAGACCCGACTGCGCGAAATGAGATAACGACTGTGCTGATGACACGTAATACTCCCAACGATATTCTCAACAGGAAACCGACACTTGTCAAAGTCGGCAGAGTACAAACGCGTTGTTCAAACGCCTCGTTGCGTTCGCTTTACGACTCGGTTACTTCGCTGCCGCGACAGCTCACGTGTGCACTGAGATTGCACCATCTTGCAGAAGGACGCATGCGATGCACGTGTTCGTGATGATCACGAGACACAAACAACTGTAGCAGCACGTCTGTTCATTGTAATTACAATATTTTTCTTCTGATAACAATAATTTACGTTCACAAACGGAAGATCGTGGCATACAAAAATATATTTCGTGTACTTCGTTTTGAAAAACGTTCGGTAAATGTATTCAAGGATATATATTCAGCGACGAATGCGTTTCTCAGCGAGGCATCGTACGGGAGATCGATCGTATAAAAAAACATAGTTCACAGGACGTAGTACTGATTACAGTACTGATACAGAAAGTAACATGTGTTTTACTATTCGATACGTATGAATATAAGATAGAATTAAGCCTAAAGCATTATTATAAGGCGCATACACCGCGCATGGCAGATTATTAAGGTCACCGGTATGCGTTATATGGCGCGTCAAGCCAAGCTTTTCGAAAGCGAATTTTAAAGCTAAGCACTTTAGAGAATATCTCAATTCTTTGGGTTACACATTTCAATTCTCAAGTATATAAAACATGATATAATTGCAACAATTTCATATCACCAATACTTTCCATATATAAAATATTAGAATCTTTTACCTAATTTAGTAGGTAAATACCTTCTAGTAAGGAAAATTTACAGAATAATTAAGCAAAATAATTTTTAAGCCATTATCCAAAATCACAAATATTAAAATATTTTATTTTAATTTTTAACTCGAAACAGAAATAGAGTAATCGTTTTATGATTGCCAAAAATTTGACTTAATTTAAAAATAAACGTAAACTGTTAAATTTGACGATGAATAAATAAATCTTTACATTTGTTTTATTTATGCGCAAATTTTATTCATAATGGCTTTTGGTTGATAAAATAAGATTGTTGTATTTATGTTCTGAAAAAAATCATTTTATTAAAATAGTGCAAGGTCTAATTCCTGAGCTAAAATCTTCTCTTTCGAATGCATAGGCAGGGATGAGCGACGATACCACATACACACGAACACATATCATTTATACGCCCAGATTTACTTGTAAGATAAACTAATTAACTAAGTCGATTTAAAGCTTGACAAAGCTATAACGACTAAAGATCGTATACATATCGTAAATGTACGAGATTAAGAGAATTTATTTGTTAACATATACATATATATATACGTTATAACATATAATATATATATTATTATGCATTATTTTACGATTATAAAAGATATATATTATATACCTATATCTCTTATAAATATATACTTATATGCACTAAATGTTTTTTTCTAAGAAGTTATATTTATAATAGTATAAAACTGCCGGGCACATATTGGCGTTCTGAAATTAATTTCCATTTATATCCGGAAAAAGTCCATCTTCATCATTTTAATTTTGTTATACTGTGTTTTATTATCAGTTATGCAATTTTTATTTTGGTATAAAATCTAAAAATGAAAAATATATTTAGAACTGTTATGTTAAATTTAATTTTGATATTTGGATAATATAAAAATTATCGATACGCCGAATGCGATCCTCTGCAGGCCCTACATTTAGCTTAGGATTCGTACGAGGCATATCTAACGTTAACGTGTGTTTACTAATTTTCTCCTTTTTATAATTACATGCGAATAATTTCATAAGTGTATACTTGCAATAATCTTAAAATTTATATACAGTTATAAAGAAGAAAAAACGGCAATGTGTGAATGGCAATAAGTTATAAAAAAGTTGATAGATATGAAAGTAAAATTAGCGAAGTAGGATAATTGTCTGAGTCAGAAGTTCGGAATATATACTTTGCTATTATGAAAAAATGCGTTCGAAAAATGTAACAAAAAGAGCTATTTTAAATCATTTTATGCATTTCGTGTTTCAATAATTTTCCTGACAATCTTTCACATTATTCTACATCTTACTTCTAAATCTATTTATTTCTTCTATTTCTAAATTTTATTTTTTACTATCTAACTTATAAAAAAAGAACAAAGTCGAAGCAAAAGTTTTTCAAATCTGAATTATTTATTTGGTTGTACACGGGAAAATTTACTTTAAGAACTTCCGTCTCGGACGTTAGGACATATCTTTATAGATAAGTTTTAGAAACGGAAGAGAAAACGGGAGTGTGCGCGGCTTTAATCTTTTCTGCTGTTTGTTATTGCGGCATACGCTGTTAAGACTCTCTAATAGTGTACATGAAAAGGTGCTGTATGCGCATAATGCATACAGAATTGTTTACACCCTCTATACTTCTACTTGAATATTAATTGAATAAAATGGAATTGTTTCCAAACTTCTAACATTTCGCAGGTAATGTACAACAAACAAAAGTACTTATCAGCGACCGCAGCAGCCGAAGGGATTACAGAACGCTAGACACTACATTAAGCCCGTAGAACCATATCAAGACATATCGGTGGGAGCCGTCGCTAGACTCGTCGGGCGCGCCGTTTATTATTACTAATTATTATAAGCGGATATTTTTGTACAGCGTCTTACAATGTGGTCGGATCGTTGCCGGCACGCCCGACGGGCGATCGGCCTGCCATACTTACTTCATTTAACAGCGCGTGATACCCTGAAGACGCGCAAACACGTACGTGCGCAAGCACGATGATATTAACATATATCTTATACATACATATACGCATATGCGTGCGTCAGCGGAACGTGTAAACGAAATTATCCTACACTGGACGCCCCCTCGCGTAAGAACGATAAACGGAGCTTAACTATTGATCGAAGGATGTATCTTTGTAATCTCGGTGCTCGCTCACACGTTGCTTCTTCGCACGACTCCAGAAACCTCGTATCTGTGTTAACACACACACACACACACACAC